CTTACATTAGTTAATATTCATGCATAGTACTGGTTTGGTGTGAGGTTAACTGTTAAAAGTGAACATAAATTTTTATTTTATTTGGATTCATAATGTATTCGATGTTTTGTTTTGGTTTTTTGTTTGGTTGGTTTTTGTTGTTGGTTCACTCATCACAGTTGATTAGATAGCCATGGTTTTACTTCACAATGTAACTGATAAAGTTTGTGTATTAAGAGTGACACATTTGCATTGACAGTTTTTGTTTTTTTGTTGTTACTTACAACTATATTATTGGATTATCTTCAGTCTGCCAATTCTTTGGAGGAATGATACTCACTAGGAATAAGTGCTTACTAATAATATATAACATGGATTAGCAGTGATGCCCTCACTTGGTCCATGTATCAGATAGCCCCTTCTCACAAGGGAACCCATGTCATTCTCCTTGTACAGTTTTTACCCTTAGTTAATTCTAGGTAAATTATTAGTTCACCCACGTGAGCTCTTATACATCACAATTTGGCACAGGATGCTGGCTGTGCTCAGAGGGAACAATTAAGTGAAGGATAACTGTCTACTTGATTTCATTCTGGAATTCCACACATGACAAGTTATGAATCCCTGTGTGACAGGAAAACACCTGACACATGGACCAATTGGAACTACCAGTGCCCATGAATACTGGAACAATTATTTTTATTAAGTGCCCTCCTATTTTTTTTAGGTAAGTGATAATCTCTACACTTCATTGGAAAATATATTAATGGATTTTTGTGACCCCACTTAGGGGATTTTGGCTGTATTATGATGACAGGAACTATGTAAAACTCATCCTTGCTCTCCTAGTTCTTAGCGTAAGACCTGACACAGATTACTATGGGTAATTTGTTGGATGAGTGACTGGGACTGACCTAACTCAACTAGAGGACTTTTATTAAAAAGTAATAAGATAAATATTTGGCTGGATATATATATTTAAATGTAATATTGAAAGTATTAAAAGAGTCTATTGGAAAATAAAAGGGTCGGTTATTTATGTAGAAAAAAATGGCAATACAGTGATCTGTACTATGGAAGCAAATAAATGGTGGGAAAATAAGTTTGTAGGTATCACATTGACCTGTGACTCATGATGGTATCGCTGAAGTTTTGATGAATCAAGATGGGGAAAAAGGAACAAAGCTTAAATGTTTCATTTAATTATTAGGACTGGGTATTGGAACGTACCAGTAAGTGTGAAAATGAGCTTTTAAATGTTTTTAGAAAGTTGCTGTAAACATGTATTTCCAGGTATAGAATAGTATTTTTTAAAATATTGTCATGCTTCAGTTTCAGATGCAAGGTAAGCATGTGTTAGAATAGCTTTCACACATTTTATTTGTAATAAAGACAAATATTATCTATGATGTATTTTTTGCAAAAATAATGGAAGTTATTTCTTACTACTTTTTTTCAGTCTAATTTGTAACTGATTTTTGAACATTTTTCTCATAAGACATGCATGTTATTCAATTATGAGTGGTATACTTAAGTTGTTTTGGGGAATACTATATATTTGGTTTTGGAAGTGAGTTCTCAATGTATATGGGTTAATATAACTGCTGTGAGGACAGGAAACTTTATTTTGAGAGATTCATGCACTAGTCCTTTAATACTAAAAATTTTAATGTTCTCTCTTCTGCGGCTTGTAAGCACAGGCTCAGATTTAGTAGATCATCTCTCCAAGTGACGGTAATGTTACTTCATGTCAGTAAATTTCCTGAATGTTTTCAAAGTCCACATTTTTGTACAGTTGGTTACTTAATTTTTTGCTCAATGTAGTCATTTTTGTTAACTATAGAGTCTACATAGATTATGTGGACAGGGATATGGAGGAGGCAGAGCTGGGGCTAAATTCTAAATTTTCATAAAAATTCTTTGATTTGAATGCAAATATTTCAGTTCTTTGCACTTCATACTAGTGTTCATCATCTGTTAATGCCCTTAAATATATTTTTATTTTGTCAATTAGAAGAATCAAAAATGGAAATATGAAACATACCCATATATATGTTTAACAATCAATTTACCTATATAGAGCAGATTATCTAATAGGTAAAGAGAAAGGTTATCTAATTGGTAAAGTTGTGCTGCTCAGTACTTTCTAGCCTTCTCTGATCCTCAACAGAGATGTGCAAACAAGTGAGGATAAATATGAATAATAGTGGGTGGAACCAGGTGAAATAAATACATCCAAATTAAGATAAAATGAAGTGTCATGGTATACAGTCAACCCTCAAAGAATCCAAGAGCTATAAATTATAAGACTAATTGAACAGGTCTACTACCTTAAGTAGATCATACTTTAAATGTTTAGAAAGTTGTATCTTACTTGGGTTTTAGAATTACTTCAGGATATTAAAAATAGTATATATCCAGAGTCGGGAATTAATTTAGGATATAAAAATGCTGATTGTGTCTTAGTACTTACACAGGACTAATAAATTTAATATTGCTATCACTAAATGAAAGCCTTTTTTTTAATGTGTGAGGTTTGATGAATTTATAATCTGTGAATTCAGAATTTGTGGACTAATTACATAAAATAATGAGTTTTTCAAACAATTTCAGAACTATTACTATAAATATAGTATTAACTTTGACATCAGCAAAACAATACTCATTTAAATTCTGTATACTTGGACAAAAATTCATAGGGCTGCATTTTCCCTTAGCAAAAGAAAATTTTTGAATATTCTAAAGGGAAACCTTTAGAATAACTAGTGTGAAATAAGTAACAAGCATACCTGACAAATTGAGATTTTTTAAATTTGTGCCAATGCTATTACAGACTGAATACAAAGCTATAATTTCATGATGGGAAAAGTGATAGTGTAGAATAGATTGCCCCTAAGTCATCCCAAATCTCTCACTTTTGCAAGAGCAGAGTAATATTTAACTGGCCTAGGTTTCAAATCTTTTTCTCATCTAGTGCTTATTCAAATGGAGATATAGTAGGTTGTAGAGAAATAAGCAACAAAAGGAAGATAATCCAGGCATGTAGTAAATGTGGGTAACATCCTGAATGACAGCCAGTTATACTACTTAAAACTAGAGGCCGGAGCACCAATCTGGACATGGTCTGGAGCCCTCAGAGGTCCTTCCAGCAAAGTGAAGGCAGTGCTGGCAGCCAGTGTAAGGAAGGCCCATTCTTGCATGAATCTTCATGCATCGGGCTCTAGTATAGGATAATTGTATATTTTACTATTGTTAGATTATATTCAATGTTTAGCAGGTAATTGAAATGGGTTACTTGGGACTCAATGGTGTAAGATTTTTATTCTAGAATTAAGTTAATAAAGTGACCAATTAAACCCAGAATTTTTTTAGTTCAATAAAGAAGTTTTTACAATTGGAAAGAAAGCATTCTTTTTAGCAATCTAAAGCACCACATAACTCACATTTTAATAAAAAACAGTTGGAAAATATTTCTAAATATTTACATAGATTACTATGGTAAATAAGTGAAACATATTTCAAAATTGTTAGTGTTTTAATTCCATTTGAATTTGCCATATCTGGATCCCAAAAGTAATTTCACTTATTTAAGAGTATTTGTGAACAGTTTAAAAACTAAAAGCTCTTCATTACCAATTAGGGGATCCAGAAAGAGCATCAACATTAGATGCTGCAAAAAACCATTCTCTCCTAACAAGGAAATAAGAATAGAGGCTTTTAGCCTATTCCAACCTCCCTTTATTTTATTCTGTATTCTTTACTACTTTTCAGTTGAATGGCCTTGGTCAGAATATTTAACTTTGGAACTGCAGAGTCTACATTTATAAAATATTAAATATCGTATTAGTTAGATAAAACAAAATATACATATTGAAGGTACTTTGTAACAAAATTTAGTTGTTGAATTTAATATGCCTAAAATTGTCAATGATACACATTAAGGGTTGTTGATGTCACCTTCCTCATACTTATATTTGAAAATATATAGTTATAGTAACTTTAGTAATTTTTTCTTATTTGGGTGTTAATAAAGTAGGGTGACTTGGTTTTTAAGAATTATGTGAAATTCTAACTGCTAAATACTATGTTTTAAAAGTCAAGTTTGTGGTGAAAGCTGGGAATGAAAAACTGGTATTCAAAAATGTTACAGTGTATCTGAGTCAGGAGATAGGAATGAATTTTCATTTAATTTTGTAATAGAGATACTATCTGAAGTTCACTTTTTATTAAATGTGCATGAATCAAGGGAAATTGTAACAGTACTATTTTAATACTTCTATTTTAAAACGTTTAAGTTTTACAATATGACTTTTTGCCTATTTTTAATAAGTAGAATTTTTTGTTGTTGATGTTTTGCCCCTTCTTGAAGGTTTTTGGTTCTTTTAATAGGATATTTTTATATTTATATAGAATAAAGATGATGCCCGGCCAGCATGGCTCGGTGGATAGAGTGTCGACCTATGGACTGAAGGGTCCCGGGTTCAATTCCTGTCAAGATTACAAGGCTGGGTTATGGGCTCAATCCCCAGGAGGGGGATGTTCAGGAGGCAGCTGATCAATGATTCTCATTTATCACTGATGTTTCTCTCACTCTTCCTCTCCCTCTCTGAAATCAATAAACATATATTTAAAAAAAATAAAATGGTAAATGTCTATATTGTTGGTTAACAATACTGAGTATTTTTGTTTTAGCACCTTTCATAGTCAGAGCTTACAAATGTTCATCCTTTTCTCCAGATATTTTTTCCCCATAGAGAATAGACGCCGTTGTTGAGATCTGACTGGGGTTATTCTTTTCATAAATCATGCAAATTAAAGCTGGAGTGCTAAGGTGATATCTTGAGAGCAAAAAGGGTGTTAGTATAATGCTACAAAAGCAGTGAATCAAGTTTGCGATCCTTTGAGCTTGCTGTTGAATGACATACTTCAATCACATAGTCCTTGCACATTGTAGAAATTAGGATATGCAAATGTAAGAACACTAAAATTGTTTGAAAAGCCTAATTTTTATTACTTTGCAGATGTTCCATTTAAGCCCACCTCTTCCATAGCCATAGCTGGAGCTGTAATTGGAGCTGTCCTTGCACTTCTCATCATTGCTGTCTTTGTGACTGTGCTGCTGACTCCTCGAAAAAAGAGACCATCCTATCTTGACAAAGTGTAGGTAACTTTTTTGCCTGTGTTCAACTGTGAATATTCTTTATAGCTACTCATATGGAAAGTGACAGGGACGAAAGTACATAAAGGTATTGTTAGATCTTTTTTGTGAGGACCAGGGTTTCATCAGAATGTCTCAAATTACATCTCAGTAAATAAACTGTCAAGGGGCAGATGGAGACAAGTATGTTAGATATATTTTTCATCTACACTACATTAGACATCTTTCCACATCGTAACCTAATAGCTCTCTATGCCATCCTACATTCTGAATAAAAGTGTAGCTCTTAATGAAGTAGTTGGAAGATAGATAATAAAAAAAAATTAGTTTAATTGCTTCTTTAGATTATATATGCCTATCTTATGTATAAATATGATTTAACTTTCAACTGACAGTAGTTATTAAGCACATCAAATTTTAAAACTTTTATCCTTAAAGAATTTAGCTTTTGGTGAATTATGAAATGGGCATTTTTTTATTTAAATAGAAAGCCATGATTTTGGCCTAATCATTGAGATAGTATTATAAAACAGAAGTTGCATGAAGAATCAAGACTATGTCTCACCCGGCCAGTGCACAGTGGTTGGGCATCAATCCATGAACCAAGAGGTCACAAATTTGATCACCTGGTCAGGTCACATCCATGGGTTATGGGCTTGATCCCAGTAGGGGGCATGCAGGAGGCAGCAGATTGATGTTTCTATCCTGTTGATGTTTCTAACTCTGTCCCTATCCCTTCTTCCCTCTCTAAAATCAATGAAAACATTTATTTAAAATTAAAATACTAATGTTTCAATTTATCTAATTCCATCAACAGCTTTGTTGCTTCATCTGTAAAATTAGAATTACTTGTCCTTACCTCACCTGGTTATGATGAGAGAATAAGATACTTTTTATAGATTCTGAAGTTCTATACAGATGGCATTATTTTTTGTGTGTTATTACAGTTTTTATATTAGGACATAGGCTGGCTCTCAAAGAATTGATTTCTCCTGTTTTTATAACATGTTTTGCATATGTCTCTAATCTGGCACAGTTATAGCACTGATCTTTTTGCTTTGAAGACATCTGAGAGTTAGTTTCCGCTTTATCATGATCAAATTAGTGGTATAAACATAAACAACTCACATGACCTCCATAAGCCTCAGTTTTCTCACCTAAATGACCTATGACAACTTGGAGCTATAAAGTTGCTGATATTTTTTATATATATATATTACTGATTTTTTACAGAGAGGAAGAGAGAGGGATAGAGAGTTAGAAACATTGATGAGAAACATCTGTCAGCTGCCTCCTGCACACCCCCCACTGGGGATGTGCCCACAACCAAGGCATGCCCTTGACCGAAATCGAACCCAGGACCTTTCAGTCCCTAGGCCGACGCTCTGTCCACTGAGCCAAACCGGATTCAGCAAGTTGCTGATATTTATATTAGATGAAAGGAAGTAATTTAGATAATAGGACCATAAAATACCCTTTCAGTGCAATACATGTAAGAATATAAAATGAGTTTTATAATGTTTAAAGTGACTAAGAAGTGGTTAACTTCATCTTAGTTTATCAAATTATCTCAGGATTTTCTATAATTTCAAAACAAAATTTACTAATAGAATAGTAAATCCCTGTAACCACTGTATTTATTATTTGAGTTCTTTTCATTTAAAATATTATTTCATGCCCTCATTAAGAAGTTTATTAGCCTGTAATTTGTAATTACTTTGGCCTCTATAGTTTTCATACTCTTTATTTTTTAATATGTCTTCAAAAATGCAGAAAGCTACAAGATATATTTAATTGTATTGTAATTTAACTGTTTAAAATTGTGTTAATGATAATATTGTGTGTGTTGGTTTTTTTAAAAAGTAGATTTGGTTATTTTGCAAAAAATATAACTTAAGGTCCCTTTGTTTATTGCAGGTTGAAAGATTTCTAATGGTCTGTAGATTGAAAATATTAATTTGCATTGTGAATATTCTAAGAGTGGCCATGCTTTTAAAAATTAGTTTTGGAAGTATTTCCAAATACAATCTAAACTTTTTTTCATTATCATTGTCAACTATAGTCTTTTAAATCACTTTTATGACACTTTAGGGGCAAGTACCTTCCATTACATACATGTTTTACAATCTTTAAAATGTTGGTAGGCATATAGATGTAAAAATATACAATTCATAAATAAATTGGCCATGGACTATATTGCTTGCTTAGTAATAATTTGAAGAATTATTTCTATTTGACTTCCTTTTTTAAATATGCAACTATTAGATTGTCTTAAGCATTGAAACCTTTAAAACTAGTTTATTTTCCATTGATGATAGATAGGTCAGTGGAAATATAAGAGCAAATTAAATATATAATTGCAGTGATATATAAATGCTAGTATGAGGAAAATATCCTCAAAAATTAAGAGAACTGTGATTGTTTTTCCCCTTCTCTTTTTTATTTTTGCTAAATGTGGCAGTCACAATTTTTAACCTTTTTAATGCAGGATTGACCTACCGCCCACACATAAACCACCGCCTGAGTATGAAAAACGATCCCCCCCTTTGCCTCAAAAAGACCTTCTATATCAGGTAAGTGTTCATGAGTGCACTTAAAATAAAATGAAATAAAATAAAAAATACTAATCAGTATATATCATTTGTTTCAAAATATTATCTAGTCATGGTATATTAAACATTGCATAATAATCCTATCTAATAAAATAGTAATATGCAAATTGACCATCACTCCAACATACAAGATGGCTTCCCCCATGTGGTCAAAGATGGCTGCCCCCATGTAGACACAAGATGGCCATAACAAGATGGCCAGCAGGGAAGGGCAGTTAGGGGTGACAAGGCCAGCAGAGGAGGGAGGTTGAGGGCAACCAGGCCTGCAGGGAAGGGCAGTTGGGGGGATTGGGGCCTGTAGGGGAGAGCAGTTGGGGGTACCAGGCCTCCAGGGGAGGACAGTTAGGGTTGACCAGGCCTGCACTGGAGGGCAGTTAAGGGCAAACAGGCTGGCAGGGGAGCAGTTAGGCATCAATCAGGCTGGCAGGGGAGTGATGAGGTGGTGATCAGGCTGTCAGGCAGAAGCAGTTAGGGGCAATCAAGAAGGAGGCAGGCAAGCAGTTGGGAGCCAGCAGTGTTGGATTGTGAGAGGGATGTCAGGCTGCCCATTTCCGGGATCAGGCCTAAACAGGCAGTCGGGCATCCCTCGAGAGGTCCCAGATAGGCTGGGCTTAGGGACACACACCCCTGTGCGGAATTTTGTACACCGGGCCTCTAGTCTATACATATAAAGAGCCAGAGTCCATAACTTCCAAAATGACTGAAGGGATAACCAAACACCAGGCTATATGCACAGCAGGCCTGGGTGGGCAAGGACTGGTGAGCAGGCTGAACTGCTGACCTCAGAGAGAGAGAGAGAGAGAGAGAGAGAGAGAGAGAGAGAGAGAGAGAGAGGGAGAGAGAGAGAGAGAGGGAGGCGGGGCCGATAAGCAGCCATCCCAGAGGTATAAGAGCTGATCAGCCCTTGCCTCTCTCTCTCAGAGAGATCAGTAGTTCAGCCCACTTGCTAGCAGCCTGGGGCAGCTGCTGATTAGCCCCACCACTCTGATCAGACCTGGAGATAGGCCCAGAGACTGTGACTGGCATAAAAACCGACCAATCAGAACTTAATCTGAGTGAACTCCAAAGGCAGAAACTAAGATGGGGGCTGAGGAGGGGTTTTAAAGGCAATAGCTGTTTGGTGTAAGGTATAAGAAAGTGGCTCGATTTTTAATGAATGGTTTGGCAGTATGGTACATAGGGTTGGCTATCAGTCCAGATATAGAGATTATGTATTTTTGTCTGCCAAAAGCATCTCCTCCTGAAAAAGCCCCCCCCCCAACCATTAAACAATCCTATTCTGTATAACCTACCTATACTAATAAAAGGGTAATATGCTAATTAGGCTGGGTTGACCAGCCATCTTCTGGATGTCCAACTTCCTTCCAGACAAAACCATGGTGGTGAGGGCTGAGGTAAAGGCAGTTAGGGGTGATCAGGCTGGCAGGGAAGGGCAATTGGTGGTAACCAGACCAACAGGGGAGAGCAGTTAGGGGCGATCACGCAGGCAGGTAGTTGAGGGGTTTAGGAGCTAGTGGTTCCAGATTGAGAGAGGTGTGTCCGACTGCCAGTTTAGGCCTGATCCCTGTGGGAGTGGAGGGATCGGGCCAAAAACCAGCAGTTGAACATCCCCCAAGGGGTCCCCGATTGGAGAGGGTTCAGGCTGGGTTGAGGGAACCCCCTCCCCTCTGTTCATGAATTTCATGCCACTAGTGTATAATAATTTCTCTGAAACACTTATGTGATCAAATTTTGTTTACAAATTGGTAAGAAAAAAAACTAATGGCCACTGTAGCTAAGACAAAAGTATATTAGAAGTACAATTTTTTATTAAAAGTGTAGTTGAAGACATTGTTAATACAGTTTTATTGACATAGAGATTCATGATAAATATGCATTTTATATAAAAATGTAAAAATGTTGAATATCTTTAATAGGATATGATAAAGAGCTTTTTCTCCTATGATAGGAATTTTGCTTCTTTTTCAATATATTCAAGGTCTAAATTTTAGTTTTTATTTATTTAGCAACAATGGGTTTATATTCAAATTTAATAGGCTGGGTATTTATTGAGCTCTCTATTACATTTACCATAATTTTAAAAATTTCTTTTAAATTTAGTTTGCAGTAATTCATGTGAAAGTACTGATTCAGTGCTTCTATTTTGTTCTATCCCTAGATTAATATGCTCTACTTGGCAAAGTTTAAATCATCAGAATATTTAATTACTTTTATTCTTACCATTAGATTTTTTGTTTTGTTTGTTTATTTTCCTCTATCAACCATGTATCCTGTTGGTGCCCTAACTCTAAATTGGGGTTTTATTATCTCTAGGAGTGTTCTATAATATTTTATTCCTAAAATATGCCCTGTATCTTCAACTTGAATAAGACAAATAACTTGCCCATCAATTACTAGTAATTTATTTAGCATGGTAGAAAAACTCCAAGGGAATATATCTGTTAAGATATTTTTAGTTTCTGTTTCTTTGTTGACTATGTAGTCAGTGTACTGCCCCAGTATGGGGCAGGGAGTAGAATTCCCTGGCAGTTGCACCCATAGAGAATGGCACCAGCTTTGTTATCTTACACACCACGTCCAGTATCCTAGGGGTGAATACATGCCATCTTTTCTGATTTTGTTTCTACATAAAAATGTAGCCTCACATTTCTTTTTGGAAATAATTGAACTTAACAACTAGTGTGAAAGTGAACAAAATGTTTAGCTATAGCTATTAACATCTACAAGAAGATAGCTGTCGTCCTCTCTCCACAAAGCTGGCAAATGTCCAAAGGATTTCTAGGTTCAATTTTGGGAACATTGTTAATAAATTTTAGGACAATTTTAATTGCATATATTTTTTTTATTCTCTATAAAAATCAATTGATTTTATAACTTGTTATTAAATAATTTCAAATTAAATATTTATAAAAGCTTGTGAATTGGAAAAATCATTTCTTTACTAAAACCTAAGGTTTTAGTAAAGAAAATATGATTGCTATAAATATAGACACTGCTAAATAAAGACAAAAGTGATTTAATTAATATTGTGGTATCAAAATATAAATCACATAGAACTGGTTTTTGGTTACTAAGAAATAAATACGTAAGTGTGTAATTACTATCTAATTAGTTTCATGCCAGGATAGCATGTTGAAATAATAAATGTCTCCTAATGTTCCACTTTACTAAACAACATGTCAACTTCAAACTAATTCCTACTTGAAGCCATTAGCTCTCAGCCTCAGAAGTAGGCCTAGTGACCTAACAAGCCAGGCCATGCTCCCAAATGTTCTATCTATCTGTGCTTTTCTATTACTAAGAGAAACCACAACAGGAAGCAGTTTCTCACTACCCACATTTGTCTGCCCTGCTTAACCATTGCTTTTGTGGTAATAGTGCCAAATTCATCCCTGACAATTTTTTGTTCTAAATATGTTAGTCAGGAGAAGGAGGCCTGATATTGTGAGTAGTTCCTTGAGTGGGAATATTTCTGTATTGCTGAGATAATGCATGAAAGTACGCGTAAGTATACTATATAATAAAGAGTAATATGCAAAATAACCATCACTCCAACACACAAGATGGCTGCCCTCATATTGTCAAAGATGGCCGCTCCCATTTGGACACAAGATGGCCACCACAAGATGGCCAGCAGGGGAAGGCAGTTATGGGCAATCAGGCCAGCAGAAAAAGGCAATTGGGAGGGACCAGGACTGCAGGGGAAGGCAGTTAGGGGTGACTGGGCCAGCAGAGGAGAAAAGTTACGGGGGATCAGGCCTGAAGGGGATGGCAGTTGGGGGGAACCAGGCCTTCAGGGGAGGGCAGTTGAGGGGAACCAGGCCTTCAGGGGAGGGCAGTTGGGGGCATCCAGGCCGGCAGAGTAGGACAGTTAAGGGTGACCAGGCCTGCAGGATAGGGCAGTTAAGGGTGACCAAGCTGGAAGGGGAGGGCAGTTAGGGGTGACAAGGCTGGCAAGGAAGGGAAATTAGGAGTGTCTGGCCAGCAGGGGAGAGAAGTTAGGGATGACCAGGCTGGCAGGGGGAGGCAGTTGGGCATCAATCAGGCTGGTATGGGAGTGGTTAGGGGGTGATCAGGCTGGCAGGCAGAAACGATTAGGGGCAATCAGGCAAGCAGGCAGTTGGGAGGTAGTAGTCCTGGATTCTGAGAGGGATGTCCCAGATTGGAGAGGGTGTTGGCTGGCGGAGGGACACACACACCCTGCATCCTCCATGCATGAATTTTGTGCATGGGGCCACTAGTGAGGGAAATAAAACGGAATGTCTTGCATGTAGTCAAAAAGTAATTAAAAACTATCACCAATTGTCAGGATTTTTTATAATAATTCTATAAAGGTGAAATTTAATTTAGGAAACAGATACTAACTCATGACATTAAAATGTATTTTAACTTTTTACTATGTTGTATTTTCTTAATATTATTTATTTAATTCTTAAGTATATTCTTGGTACCAAAAAAATCAAGTACTACAGAAATTTATAAAAGAAAACTGTGAAAGTCCTCCTTTATTTATCCATCCCCTAATATATTATTTTCTTCTTCAGAGATTACCTGTGTGATCTCAGACTTTTTCCACAAATTTACTTTCATGTATATATCATTTATATTTAAATCTAAAAAAAATTTTTTTTAAATATAAATGTAGTCATAGAATACATATAGTTCTAGAAATTGTTTTTCCCACTCTGTTACAAACCATTGTTTTTCAGAATGGCCAATGTTACCATCTTTATTAGAATCTTTTGGGTTATTGAAAATGAAGATATTTTTAAGACAATTTCAGGCTTACTAAATCAGAATCTCTGGGCTGGAGGCAGTGCAGTTTGCCTAGCACATCAGGTGAATTTTAATGCACCTTCAAGCTTGAGTTATATTGCTACCCCTGTATCCATTTTAATGGCTGAGGAAGTATTCCATCATGTTGGCATACCACAAATTACCTACCTATTTTCCTAGGTCGT